GCAAGAAGATTAGCTGATACATTCCCTAGTCTGTATTGGACTCCTTGTGCAGTTTGTTGTCTGGATATGATACTCAGGGATTTCGCAAAAATTGGTTGGATAAATGCAATAATCGAGCAGGCAAGATCTATTACAAGATTTATGTACAACCATAGTGTGGTTTTGAATATGATGAGAAGGTATACTTCTGGCGTTGATGTTGTAGAGTCAGCAGTTACTCGCTCAGCTACAAACTTCACAACATTGAAAAGGATAGTTGATCTTAAACACAATTTGCAGTCAATGGTTACTTCACAGGAGTGGGTGGACAGCCCATACTCAAAGAAACCTGCCGGCCTGGAAATGTTAGATATAGTGAGTAATCAGTCATTTTGGTCATCCTGTGCACTGATTACCCGGTTGACAATTCCTCTCCTACAACTGTTGAGAATAGTTGGAAATAAGAAGCAGCCAGCAATGGGATATGTCTATGCTGGAATGTATCGAGCAAAAGAAGCAATCAAGAGAGAATTAAATAAGAGGGAAAATTATTTGACCTACTGGAATATCATTGACCACTGGTGGCAACAGCAATGGCAGCATCCTCTCTATGCTGCTGGCTTCTACCTCAATCCAAAGTTCTTCTACAGTTTTGAAGGAGACTTGCCCAATGAGATTCTCTCAGGGATGTTTGATTGCATAGAGAGACTGGTTCCTGAGACAATAGTGCAAGATAAAATTGTAAAGGAGATGAACTGCTCCTACAAAAGTGGTGCTGGAGATTTTGGAAGAAAGATGGCAATTAGAGCTAGAGAGATCATGCTTCCTGGTGAGAGTCCATTTTATGGGTTCTCGGTTATTTTTAGTTTTTTTTTTTTAATTATTATTATTATTATTTATTTGACTTTGCTTCTTATTTGTATATCTGAGAAAATAGTTCAAAAAATAAATCTGTTTTTCTTGAATGTTTAGCTTGTGCAGTGGAACTATGGAGTTTCTTTCCCTCATTATACTTTCTTGTTAATATGTTTTCCGTCTAAAAGACTCTTATTCAACTCTTTTAATAAACTATTTATCACAGCTGAATGGTGGTTGACATATGGAGGAAGTTGTCCAAATTTGGCACGTTTGGCCATCCGTGTTCTTAGTCAGACTTGCTGTTCACTTGGGCTTAATCTGAATCGTAGTTCTTCTGGACAATTATATGATGTTAGGAATTCCCTGGAGCATCAACGGCTCAAGGACCTCGTCTTTGTTCAGTACAACTTGCGACTAAAACAAATGTAAGTGGAAAATAGTGGAACTGATAAATTCATGGATGGTATTTTGCAATTTAAAGGGGACAGAAAGCTTAACTCTTACATAATTAATTTGGTAACAGAGGTTATGAAGAAAAAATTGAGGATTCTGTGGATCCTCTATCAATTGATGCCAATAGTCTTGTGGAAGACTGGGTAAGGGAGGACACATGCTTGGGGGACTGCAGTAATTCTGATTGGATGGCACTTGATTCTCATGCTGTGAACACAATGTCATTAGGATCCCCAGTTGATGGCATTGATGAGTTGGGTGCAGGTAATCACTGCTTATTAGATGTAACAAAAACAACCTCATAAGCCTTTTTTTATTTTATTTTCTTTCATTCTCCCTTTATTTAGACAAGCTGTTTTGGCTCTGGTAATGCAGTATTTGATGATTATGAAGTTCTTAAGAGAGTGAAAGATGAGGACTAAGATGCTCAAAGACCATGTTTATGTCCGTGTGAGAGAATTCAATTGGACCATTTTTATCAGGAGAATTAAAGATGGTGATGGCTGTTTCCTGCACTGTGATCAACGAAATGTAAGTTGTTTTTGTCTTCTGATAATCATGAGTTAAAATATAGTAGGAAATTTGGTATTCTTCTGGCAAGTTGTAGGAATATGTTGGGAAAATCATATTCTTTTTCTTGTCAGAAAATTTGAGGAGAATCTACAGCATAACCCTATTAAGAACTAAGCAAGTAATAGATTGCAGTCGAAGAATAAAGGAAGAAGAATCATCTGGATTCTAATATGATATTAATCATGCCCAGACAATCACCACAGTCATTATTTTGGTCATATGATAGGTCATCAAGTCTTGTGGCTGCATAGCATGTTCTTGACTTTCCTTGCAGTGCCATCCACTCGAGTACTGCTTTTCCTGACTGGTATTGATATTATCTCTTCTGATTTTTGAATCACATTTTCCCTTCCTTTGTATAATGACTTTCTTGTTTTCTGATCAAGTAGCGTTATCTCTTATTTTTCAGACATGAGATGGACAATATGAAAGTGGAGAATAACAACACAAAGTATGAATGCTATTTCGTTTGGAATTTTGTAGTCCAAAGTTCACCTTCTAATTTTAAGTTCATGACGAAGCTTGGGTTTGAAAGGTTACATGATAATGCAAATGACTTGGGTCGTTTGAATTCAGCAAAGCTACCTTTACTCCTGACCTGAAGCTAGCAAATGCAGGAAGCTTGACTATGCCATGAAACATTCATGGGGCAAAATATCTAACATCCACAGTGCACTTCCAGAATGCTTAAACCCTAAAACAGTTCTCAGAAGAGAAAGCTGTAGATAATGTAAATTAGTGAAAGATGTTGAATTCATATTTGAGTGCGTTGTTGTCTTACATTGCAAAAATGTGACAGGAATATGGGGAATATATGTGTATATGTATTCTCATGAACCTAATAAGTTGATTTTGAGTTCAAGATAGCGTCTTGACTCTTGAGTATATAAATTGGAGTTAATAAATGTTTCTCTGTGTCTGGTCTACCAATTATACAGTATCCAAAGGAAATTTCATATAAGTTTTTATTGGAAACAGATTTCGTTACCATAAAAAACTGTGCCATATCAATCATTATTTTGTCTTATTTTTTTATATAATTTTTTTATATTATTAAATAAATAAATACATTTAATGAATCTTATAAGATTTAAAAAAATTAATTATTTTAATGATACGTCAAATTGTATGAAAAAATAAGACAAAAAAATATTATACAAAAAACATTTCCCATCAATTACGTTTCAAACTCAGACCATGAAATTAGAGGGAGCCGACTCTTAACCATATCCTAGTTTTGGTTCCTAAGAAAATTAAGCAGATGGAGGCCGCGGCAACGTCCAGTCACCGGACGGTCCAGAATGGTGCCTTTCCAAGAAGGCAACCGCATGCTCTGGTGCCCATTTCCAACATGACCCGATGACCCGGTAAACTCAGAAATCCGAACTATAAATAGCTAAACCAGTCGGCTTTTCTAAAACCGTGCCCTAACTCGTCCTACTGGTTTCCCAATCCTCGGATCCTAAACCCTTGAACTACATCAACTCGGTTCTCTCTCAACCTCAGCCGTCGCTCAAAACCAGTCTCAAGTAAGCTCCTTTTCTCCTTCGGTTTCTGTCTTGTCTCACTCATCAATTCCCCTTCGCTTAGTTTAATGTAAGTATGCTTAATTGTTCCTTTCTGGGTATTCAATATGATGTTCTTGTTTTGGTTTTCCTTAGCACCAATATGATGTTTTTCGTTATATAATTGTTTGATGAAGCTAGGCCAATTTTCATTCGTGTAAAGTTGTAAACTTTTTTCTTTTTTTGTTCTTTTTTGCGGGTTTTAAGGTTGTTAGGATCATGGGATCTCAATTTGCGCCTGTGCCAATAAAATCAAGGAAACAGGACCCGGCATGGAAACATTGTCACATGCTTAAGGATGGGGAAAAGGTGCAACTCAAATGTGTATATTGTAGCAAAGTGTTCAGAGGTGGTGGGATTCATAGGATTAAGGAGCATTTAGCTACTCTAAAATCTGGCAATGCATCACCTTGTTCGAGTGTGCCACCTGATGTTTGTGATCAAATGCAGAAGAGTTTGGATGGGATTACACCAAAGAGGAGGAAGACACAGAAGGTTGGGGAGGAAATAATGAGGATTTCTGGTGGGGCAGAGACACAGAAGATTGGGGAGGAGATAATGAGGATTGCCGGTGAGGCAGAGACATTGGCTATTGAGGGTGATGCCAATACTGGACTGCATATGTTTGGAGCAATGGATCCCCTTGAACCCTGTTCAGCTTCAGGTTTGCTGGTTAATCGGGAAGTGAGTAGTAGTGCTGCAAGGGATAAGAGGAAGAGGGGGAGGAAAAGTTCTGCTAACACCAATGCTCTTGCTTTTAACACTAGTGGGTTGGGTGCAGATGCTGATGCTGCTGCTACTCTTAACACTACTGGGTTGGATGAAGATGTTGTTGCACCTAACACTACTGGATTAGGTGCAAAGCGAGTGAACAATCATTTGAATATGGCAATAGGGAGGTTTTTGTTTGATGTTGGAGCACCTCTGGATGCTGTTAACTCTGTTTATTTCCAGCCAATGTTTGATGCTATTGTCTCAGTGGGATCAGAATCTCTATTGCCTTCTCAAAATGATATTCGTGGCTGGGTGTTGAAGAATTCAGTTGAAGAAGTAAAAGCTGATGTTAATAAAATAGCAGCAGCATGGGGAAAGACTGGTTGTTCTGTTTTGGTTGACCAACAAAAGACAGAAACCAAAGTCCAGCTTAACTTTTTGGTTAATTGTCCTGAAGGAATGGTGTTTTTGAAATCTGTGGATGCATCTGGTTTTTCAAGTTCCTCAGATGCTTTGTATGAACTGCTTAAGCAATTGGTGGAAGAAGTTGGGCTTAATAACATCATGCAAGTAATAACTAATAACGATGAGCTATGCATTGCTGCCGCAAGAAGATTAGCTGATACATTCCCTAGTCTGTATTGGACTCCTTGTGCAGTTTGTTGTCTGGATATGATACTCCGGGATTTTTCAAAAATTGGTTCAATAAATGCAATAATTGAGCAGGCAAGATCTATTACAAGATTTATGTACAACCATAGTGAGGTCTTGAATATGGTGAGAAGGTATACTTTTGGCATTGATGTTATAGAGCCAGCGGTTACTCACTCAGCCACAAACTTCACAACATTAAAAAGGATAGTTGATCTCAAACAGAATTTGCAGTCAGTGGTTACTTCACAGGAGTGGGTGGACAGCCCATACTCAAAGAAACCTGGCGGCCTGGAAATGTTAGATATAGTGAGTAATCAGTCATTTTGGTCCACCTGTGATCGGATTACCCAGTTAACAAATCCTCTCCTACGAGTTCTTAGAATAGTTGGTAGTAAGAAGCGGCCAGCGATGGGATATGTCTATGCTGGAATGTATCGAGCAAAAGAAACAATTAAGAAAGAATTAGTTAAGAGGGAAGAGTATATGATCTACTGGGATATCATTGACCACTATTGGCGACAGCAATGGCAGCATCCTCTGCATGCTGCTGGCTTCTACCTCAATCCAAAGTTCTTTTACAGCTTTGAAGGAGACATGCCTAAAGAGATTCACTCTGGGATGCTTGATTGCATAGAGAGATTGGTTCCTGATATTAGAATGCAAGATAAGATTGTCAAGGAGCTACACTCATATAAGAATGCTGTTGGAGATTTTGGGAGAAATATGGCAATTAGAGCCAGAGAGACCTTGCTTCCAGGTGAGAGTCCATTTATAAGAGAATGGTTTCATGCTATTTTTTCTTGGCTTCTTATGTTTTGAAAAAAGTACAAAGAGGGAGGTACCTTTCTTGAATGCTTAGCCCGCATGGTTTAAAGTGGGGAATTCTTTTTTCACTTGTTATACTCTGTTGTCAATCCTATTCTACCAAAGAGATTTGCATTCAACTTGCTCTACTTGTTACAGCTGAATGGTGGTCAACATATGGAGGAAGTTGTCCAAATTTAGCTCGTTTGGCCATCCGTATTCTTAGTCAAACTTGCAGTTCACGAGGGTTTAATCGGAATCATATTTGTTTTGAGCAATTACATGACGTCAGGAATTGCCTAGAGCATCAACGGCTCCGGGACCTCATCTTTGTGCAGTACAACTTACGGCTAAAACAAATGTAAGTGGAAAGTAGTGTAACACTGTAACTTGTAAATTCGTGAATGGTGTTTTGTGATTTTGAGGGGTGGAAAACCTTATATCTTAATATTGTAGCAGTAGAGGCTCTGAAGACAAAGAACAGAACTATGTGGATCCAATATCAGTTGATACTGTCTCTGTTGTAGAAGATTGGGTAAGGGAGGACATATGCTTCGAGGACTATAGTAATTCAGATTGGATGGCACTTGATCAGCTGTCACTGAACACAATGTTTTTAGGACTTCCAGTTGATGAAGTTGATGAGCTAGGTGCAGGTAAGTACTGCTTATTGGATGTAGCAAAATAATCGAAGAAGCTTTTTTCGCCTTTACTTAATAGTGGTTTTCTTTCTTATAATGCAGGTTTTGGAGATGAAGAAATTTTTGATAGATTGGATGAGTAAAGTGTTGAAGACCATATTGTATGTCATTATATTGAGAATTGAAGGGAGGCCAGTGGACTTTTCAAGGTGGTAGCTGCAGGGAATGTTCTTTCTGGACTTGCAGTGCCATCAACTCGAGCACTGAACTTGCCTGGCGATGACATTATTTTGCAATTGCTTATAATTGGTCTAAATTTCTTTCAAAAACTTAGAAGATTTCTACAAATGAACTCCCAACATCACCAGTGCTGAAAGCACAACATTGGTGATTCCGTGAGAGCAATGTAATATCAGAAAGCTTAGGAATCAGAATAGAAAGGTGTAGTCAAGTTAAATGAGCAAAAGAAAGATACAGTACTTGGATGTAATTTTAGTATGTTTTCATTCAAAATAAAATGTTTCTTAGGATAATCCATGTTACATATAATCTTTTCTGGCAATTCCTGCATTTCCATGTTCACAATGAATGTAATAGGCAATTTCTTCTGGTTAATTTACAGGAAACGTAGGTGTCTTTCCGTGATTACTATTGAACAGAAAAAATGTAACAAGCTCGAAGAATTCAGGCGCCAAGGCTATCTCACATCTCCGCTATCTGAAACTATAAGTGAGATAGGGGACATTGTTGAACCAGCTTCGACATCAAGATCCTTATCATCACAGGCGTATGACCCTGTGTTCACCTGCTCAAAATATGACGAAACTCGATAGGAACGCACATAATCATCAAAGCTTGTGCCGCTTCTAGCACTACCCTTCGTCACTTCATATCCACCAGGCGTCTCTATTTCCTCAGGCAATGCTAGATCTCCTTCCAAGTACATCACTGCTTGCCGCATTGTTGGTCTTGCCTCCGGTACATTGTTTGAGCACATTAACCCCAGTTTCACCACCGTAACGGCCTCAAGCTCGTCAAACTTACCGTTCAATTTCTTGTCAACCACATCAAGAACTGCTCCACTTTGCCACCTCTCCCACACCCAGTCCAACAGAATGAGCTCTTCCGGTAACGCCTTGGGCTCATTTGGTCTCCGGCCACATACAACTTCAAGCAAAAGAGCGCCAAATGCAAACACATCAGAACTCGTATTAGGCTTGCCGGTCCGTGTAAGCTCCGGTGCTAAGTAACCCAACGTGCCTACCACTCTGGTGGTGCTAGGGTTTGCGCCACGCTCATACAACTTTGCTAGACCAAAATCCCCAAGCTTCCCATTTAGCTCGGAATCCAGCAGCACATTGCCGGCCTTGATGTCCCGATGAATCACAGTCTGTTCCCATTCTTCATGAAGATACAGAAGGCCCGAAGCCACATCTTTGATGATCTTGAACCTCTGTTCCCAGCTCAGAACATTTTTGGGTTCATCAAACAGGTGCTTGTCCAAGCTTCCATTAGGCATAAAATCATAAACAAGCAACAGATCCGCTCGCCGGCGACACCACCCCAGAAGCTGAACAAGATTCCGGTGGCGAAGCTTACCGATGCTATTGATCTCAGTCATAAATTCCCTCATACCCTGTTTTGATTCATGCGAAATTCGCTTGACAGCAACTTGGGTATTCGTAGTCGGCAGAGTTCCTTTGTAAACCCTCCCAAATCCACCAAACCCCAGCAGCTCCTTGTCTCTGAAACCCGCTGTTGCTTTCTTGAGCTCCTGGTAAGGGAATCTGTGAGGACCAACATCCAGTTCCCATGCTTCAATCTTGTCTGTGTTTTTAATCTTCCTGATGATGTAAATTGATACAGCAATGGCGGAAATAATCAGAAAAGCAAGGGAAAGAGAAGGGAGAACAATTAACAGAGTCTGATCCTTTTTGTGTCTGGGAAGAGAAGGCAGAGCTGGTAGAGATAGAGACCTTGCTTCTCCACTCATGTTGAAACTCCAACCCAAGAGGTAGTGTGAGCTTGAAAGCTGGCCTGTTGAAGAAGAAAACCCCACATACATGGTATCCAAGAGAATTGAGGAGAGATCCACATCAAAGGATAACAGAGAAGAATTCGGTTTTTCAGAGAAAGGAGAAAGCTTTACATCCAGTCGGTTCTTGACAGAATCATAGTCAATCCAGGCTTGAAACACCTTCCCACTCGTCAACTTCAGCTCTTGTTTTGTCGAATTTTCGAGAAAATAACCTGCCGTAGCAGAAGTGTTTGATACCAAACCATTGAGATCAATTCCCACATGGTTATTATCGATATCCTGAAAATCAGGATCTACTACTGTATCAAACTCGACTGCAAAAATATGGTCTTTGAAATTCCCATTGCTGCTGGCATTGAAAAGGCCCAGGAACTCATTTGGAAGAGCGCCGGCGAGGTCTTTGGACGGAGAGATGGTGAAGGCAAGACCATGGCCACCATAAAGCGGGTGCTGAGGAACCATGGCGAAAGCAAAAGCTGTAGAAAAGGAGAAAGCTTTACTGTCGGTGGAGTTTTTGAATTTGATGGGAGAGGAGTAGAAAGCATGACCAAGTACGCGATAAGTGGCATTGGTTAAACGAATTATGCCATTGTCTTCAATCTCTGCAGCTCCATTCAGGCTCATACTATCACCTGCACTATTGAAGCCATTAAAAAATAGGTGTTCCTGGGAAAAAACAGGGATGCAGAGAAAAATGAAAGTCAAGAAAGAAACAAGCTTCTGTGCCATGAAAAGATGAGAACTTTGAGGTTTATCTGGATGAAGAAGATGATAATTGGGGAAACAAAAAGGAGAGATTGTGGGGGGGGTCCTGAGTTGAACTCGTAGATAATAACGAATTGAGTTTCTTGTGTTGTTTTCACATGGGGATCACAGGTTGTGACTGAAGGCAGCTACTGGACGGTAGAACCCATTCAGACACAACCACGGGTTTGAACTCTGAAACGGATGTCAGAAGTGGTCCACTTAATTTACCTTATTTATTCTTTTGCTTGTTATGGATCAAAATTCAAATACAGTCATAGGGAAGGAATCAATTTGTTACTTTTTTTTTTTTTTTTT